TAAATCGCCATTCACCATTATTAACCAAATACAGATTTTGATTAAATTGACCATTAACCATTATTAACCATTATTAACCATCATTAACCATTATAAACCATTACATACATCATTACCATGGTTACTAACCAACATTAACCATAAACATATCATTATTAACCAACATTAGCCATTAATAATCACATTAGTAAACGAAAATCCACTTATCACTCCGTCGGCTTCCCGGATCCGTTACCGATGATCCGAGGCGCCAAAGTGGACGGCAGCTCCACATCTTGGAACTCACCTTGGATGCGGAAAAGGCAAGAAACTGGTTGTTTTGCCCCGGAGAAAAATGTGGTTTATGCATGGCAAAATATATATATATATATTGTTAATATATGGTTAATGAAGAATGTTGAATATATGGTTTTAAACAAGGGTTTTAAAGAATGATTAATATCTGTTCATATGGTTTAAACATGGCAAATCCCATGGGTGAAAACATTGTAAAACACGGCTAATATGATTAAAACAACATGGCAAATCCCATGGGTTTGATGATATTATATCGATGGCTGTGCACAATTATGGATGATGTACACCATTTTGACGATGACGATGAAAAAACCCTCGCTGATAAGATTTACACAAGCACCAGCCGCAGTTGCATTTTTTACATTCCAACTTGTGGAAGTTATCTCGTCATGGTTATACCCGTTTGTTCAACCCAAGCAAGTCCCCCAAACAGGAAACACATGACGAGTTTCGAATAATTTTGATCAAGCTTGTTTGTACGCCAATTTTGATCCACACCCCTATATATATATAAATACATACACATATACATATATATATATTATTATTATTAAGTGAGCGATGGGGAAAAGTGTCCAGAAACAATTCATTGGTGTCCAGAGCACGTTTTCTTTCAGGAGAGAAAGCGCACAATTTCGTCATGGCCGTGCTTGGATGCCAACTCCAAAGCACTGACACCACGAAAGACGCAATGATAACGTCGTGCGGAAGATTCCACCAGAAAGCGAACGACCTCCAAATGGCCCTTTACAGCTGCACAATGTAAAGGGGCTTTTCCTTTCTTGTCGGCCAGGTCTTTGTCAGCACCCACCTCAACAAGCAGGCGGACAACATCAATATGGCCCTTTCCAGCTGCATTTTGCAAAGGAGTTTTTCCTTTTTGGTCAGCAAGATCTTTGTCAACGCCGAACTCAACCAGCAGGCGAACGATTTCCACATGGCCCGCCGCAGCTGCAAAATTCAAAGCTGTCATCCCATCATTGTCAGACAAATTTCGGTTGGCGCCAGCATCCACAAGCAATTGGAAAACATCGACATGGCCCTTTGCGGCTGTACAATGCAAAGGAGACTGTCCTTTCTTATCAGCAAGATCTTTGTCTGCACCGACCTCAACCAGAAGGCGGACAACATCAATATGGCCCTTTCCAGCTGCATGTTGCAAAGGAGTTTTTCCTTTTTGGTCAGCAAGATCTTTGTCAGCGCCCGCCTCAACAAGCAGGCGCACTATATCCAAATGGCCCGCCGCAGCTGCAAAATGGAAAGCTGTCATCCCATCATTGTCAGACAAATTTTGGTTGGCGCCAGCATCAACCAGCCACTGGACAACATCGACATGGCCCTTGCCAGCTGCATAGTGCAGCGGAGATTGTCCTTTCGTGTCAGCAAGATCTTTGTCAGCGCCGGCTTCAACCAGCATGCGAACCGCATTTAAATGGCTCTTGCCCACTGCGTAGTGCAAAGGGGTCTTTCCTTTATTGCCAGCCAAATTTGTCAGCCCCAGCCTGAACTAGCAGGCAAATGACATCCGAGTGGCCCTTCCCAGCCGCAAAATGCAAAGGGGCATTCCCTGTTTGCTCAGCCTGATCTTTGTCAGAACCTGCCTCGATCAGGAATTGGGCAACACTCAAATGGCACTTCTCAGCAGCAAAATGCAAAGCGGTTTTCCCCTCCTTCCCAGCAAGATTTATGTCAGAACCTCCCTGAATGAGAAATATGACGAGACCTAAATGACCGCGTACAGCTGCCAAGTGGAAGGGTATCTGTCCAAGACTGTCAGCTTGATTTGTCTTCGCGCCGGCCTCAACCAGAATGCGTGCCATCTCAAGATGTCCACGCCAGGCTGCATGATGCAAAGGTGTCCGCCCAACATAGTCAGCTTGATCTCTGTGGGCACCAGCCCCAAGCAGATAGCGCACAAAATGGAGACGGCCGTGCCAAGCTGCAAGATGCAACGGCGTCTGTCCATCTGTGTTTGGTGCATCTTTTGCAGCACCGGCCTCAAGCAACAGCCGCGCAGGTTTCACCCATCCGTTCCTGGCTGCGTGGTGCAATGCTGTTCTGCCCTCGGCATCCGTCATGGAGGGATCTGCAGGATGCTGAAGCAACTCTTCAAGCGCCGCGCAGTTGTTGGTCGCAGCTGCAAAATTTATCTGGCTTGTCTCCTCCATATCCACTGGCCAAAATTCTAAGACCACCAGCTGTATCTTCACTGGAACCGGGGTCAACAGCTCATGATCCTGAATCTCGGTACCATCCATGAAGATTCGTAGGCGAAATCTGGTAACGCCAACCTCAGATGCCAAGGATTGCTTCAAAGCCTTGCCTGGTTGACCTTCGAATTCAGCCACATCCAGAACTGCCAGGAGTTCCCCCGAGGCGAGGAAGCACACCTCCATGGCTCCGGGTAATGGACTTTTTGCAGGTGAGACTTGGAGTCCCAGTGATGCTGCCTCTGGATTTATGACAGCAAGATTGAGCTTGCGATGTGTTTTGGATGTTTCAGAATAGCAATTAACATCATATAAACATATTCTGTCCAACGAGGGGACAAAACATCACAATCCGAAGTTCACTCTCAGGGGAAGCCTGATTGGATTGGAAGATCTACAATAATATTTGTAGAGGCCAATAGATGATAGAATCGGCAATTAAATTCTTTGAATTGCCTTTCCATTCCATGGTGACTGCTCATCTAACAGCTTGCTGGGGGATGCAGTTCCACTAACAAATGGTTGTATAGCCTCAATTATGAGGGATATATCCCAAGTTTCCTGAGAGCCCAACCTGCACAGAGAATATCATGGCCACAGTGAGCTCAAATGGCTCCACTCCAGTGAAAAGCCGGTCCCTATAATCCCTTGATATCCCTTGCCCTGTGCATATGAAACATTCACCAGAAACCATGTTTTACTACAGTAAAGGGTTGACAGATCTTTGAGACCTTTGAGTGGGAGTGAAATTAGAGGGCACCGGGGGATGGGATTGTCATGCTATGCTGCTATGTAAATCTTTGGCGTTCTAGAGGCTATGCCGCCATCAGAAATTGTGGCCAGATAGTGCCTAAACTGTGGTTACAGTGACAGCAACCTCAGCGATGTTTTGAAACCATCAAGTTGAGGTACCCTCTGGTAAACTAACATAACTATGGAAAATCACCATTTTCAATGGGAAAATCCACTATAACTGGCCATTTTCAATAGCTATGTTAAATTACCAGAGGGTAAGTCTGAGACATACCAGTACAGCCGGTCAAACTTCACTCCCCCAAAGATCACGCGTCGATTGGTACTCGGTGTTTGTTCCATGGGGCTGGGAGTTAGGGGAACATATCAGGTATGATACCACCAAGAAAGGGGATCTAATCTTGGATTTACCGAGTAGCCGGAATGGGGAATTTACCCAGCCATACCCAGCCGATGTGTCAGTGCCACTGGGCCAAAGGATACGTGTACCCCTTCTTTTGTTGCTGGGTGATAATGTGGTAAACCCAATCATAAACCATCCCATTAACCAACCAGTAAAGAAATCCATCCTCTCAGTCATAGGGGTATGCCCCATTTCGTAAACCTCTATTGGGGATGGTATACCTCCACATTTTATGGATGATTTCAGATCCATGGCGGTTCCAAAACATGACAAGTGACTGGTCAACTTGTTCCGGAAGATGACGGCATTGGTGCTGTTGATGCCTGCCCGGAAATTGGGATTTCAGGGGCAAATATGGGGTGATTCGGGGTGTCTTTAAGGACATGGCAGTCACCGTCGGGAGACAATGAGATGCCCTCCCCCGGAGGGGTCTTGTCATGTAAAAGATCAGCTTGAATATGGGGTGATTCTACCACGAAGAATTGGGATCTCAATAGGGTTTTACTTTGATTTGAATGGAATGACAGTACACAGAGAGAGTCCACTTATGTTTGTTGGCTTATAAACCCATTCAACTGTAGACATATCCATGATAAATCCGACAGTCATTGAAGTTATCAACCAACTTACCCTGTGGTAATTTAACATAGCCATGAAAATCACAATGTTTAACAAGCAAACCATCTATAAATGCGCCATTTTCCATAGCTATGTCATAGGCAATCCAGATTCTTTTGTATCTCCATCTTTTGTTTGTTTAGTCCTCATATGTTTTCCCTATATTTCTAACGATTCTAGCTAAGATCCTTACCATGGATCCACATGTTTTCTTAGAGGGTACTTGACTCCTAAAATCATTCCCCAAACACGCTGCCGAAGGTACTCACGCCACCTAAACACCCAGTTCAATATATGGAACTTCCCAAAGTTGTATACGGCGTACACATTTTATATTACACATGCGCTTAAAACAATTTATGATTTCTGATTATGATTCATGGGATGTCATGGATTGTTTGACAACATGGTGAACAACCCATTTTCAGACAAAACCACACCCCACATGATTTCTTTTTTGATACTTAAAACTGGATGTACCAGATTTCTATGTATCCATATCATATCCCATAGTCCCCCCCATTACCCCGGTCAAAACATGTAAAACCACCATTTGAGTGAACGAATTTCCATGGCCATACCCTCTGGTAATTTAACATAGCTAGTGAAAATAGTAATTTATAGTTGATTTTTCTATTAAAGATGGTGATTTTCCATAGTAATGTTAGTTTACCAGAGGGTAACTCGGGGTGCTGGGCGCATCACTCCTTTTTGTCGGATCACAGCGAGGGCAACACATCATCGATGGATGGCAAGCTGTCGCTAAGTTGTGGAAAGAGTCCTGGTTCCATGGTGGACATCCATGTTAGAAAAGGGAAGATTAATGGGATGATAACGGGATCTTCATGGAATGTTAATCTGGTTGGTGGTTTCAACCCCTCTGAAAAATATGAAAGTCAGTTGGGATGATTATTCCCAATATATGGAAAAATAATCCAAATAGTCCAAACCACCGACCAGCAATGGACTATTAATGGAATATACAAAGAACGTATGGACGAATAATATGGGATCTATACGCCTCATCCGGCCAAAATTGGAAGTTCCCGGTCACGGTCAACAATTTTATGGGGTTTAAGTATGGCCAACCATCAACCCGGGTTTGACTTACTGGTGCTTAGTAGGGAATGGATGGGAATGGGGGAATGGGATGATTATATCAATTATATCACTAGTGATTATGGATCATTCCCTCATTCCCTGCTAAGCACCAGTAAGTTGACTATAAAAAAGATAAACATGGGGATATAGTGGGATCTGCTGCTCGTCAAAGGTCTTGTCTGGCCATCTAAGGGTTAACATTTTAAAGATCTACATGATGTCTCGATTTTTCCTGTTTGCAGTCGAGTAATGTTCATTGCAGGGGAAGCCAATCATTGGGCCTTGGCTAGCCATTTATGCACACCCTTTGCACCATATATTTGAGATAATGAAGGTACAACATGGTACAACAACCAATCAGAAAATGAACCCTGGACCAGGTAGCATTCGTTCGGTGAGGAGATGCTACCATTGATGATCCACTGTGTGGTTAACAAGGGTCCTGGCTCGCCACACAGCCTCCCGCCCAACTGCTTCAGCTTTTCTTGTTCCAATGAAGGGTCGTACTGCAAGTAATGGTCTAGATTTCCAAAGAGGTCATTCAGGATTGCGGTCGCTTCATCTGCATACTCCTTGGCTTCAAACGAGAGATTCTCATCGAAGCGCGCCCTGAAGATGTTTCGAAGCCGCTTCAACCCTTCAGCCGCTGCAGCTGCTTCAGAGCGTTGCTGCGATAATGACAGTTGCTGCCACTCAAGCTTCTCCAAGTGCACAACACGTGTGAGCTGCTGGCAAGCGACATCAAGAGCTTGATCAACGTGCTCCTTCAAGCCATCCAACTTCGCCAACAGCCGAGCATGAGTCTCCTGCTCCTCAGGCGGGGGGTTCTTCCATTCATCTCGCAAATGAAATGCAAATGAGAGAAAGCAAACAACAGTTGCTCAGGCAATGTGCATTCAGAGACTGGCTTGGGCAACTTCATCTGAGTTAAGCACAATTGAATCAACAGACCTGGCAACAGAGGTTTGTTCCCCTCACGATGCACCTTGAGCCTTTTGTTCCAAGCCTTGGCAAGTCGAACCAAATCAGGCAATCGGTCAAGCCGTTCCATCGCCATGAACTGTTTGGTGTGTTCTTTGCCACGATACCGCTGCCATTTTCTAGAGATAGGATCAAACTGTTCGAGGTAATCCTCTGCAGATAGAAATACGGGGACAACATCAATCTCTTGACCATAACCTTGAAGTGTCACGCAGAATGGCTTACTGATGACGCTGAAGCCTGTCAGAAGAGACTTTTCACCTTGATTTTGTACACTCAGAAAGCGTTCACGAACAAAAGTTACAGCATGAGGGTCTCTGGTTGGCATATGGACAAATCCACATCCGAGTCCAGTAGGTTTGTGCCGATATTTGCAGAGCCGCTATGGCGGCAAAGAAACGATGGGAACATGTGCTTGGAAAGGAGCTCTACGACATCTGCAGTCTTGGCCGTACTTGGTCCTGTACCCATCGCCCATACCAGTTGTTCCAATCGTTTTCCCGTAATTCCATATTTGCCAGGGAAATGGCCGGGAGCTATGAGCTTTGGAAACTGGGGGCGATTTCCACTGCTCTCAGTTGTTTGCAAGCTGTTACCATGCGTTGCTGTAAGATGTCCAAAATTCGAAATGACCGGAGATTGTCGCGATGGACCTTCACAAATGCAGAGTGCGTGTCACAACCAGCTAATTCCAACTGCTGCAGCAAATCCAGGGGTAAATTTGGGATAAACAGAGTGGTTGTCTTTGGCCCAAAACTGATCAGCTTCATGCATATCTCAATAGCATCATGTACACGTTGGTACTGCCAAACACGTTCCCCAAGCCTGCCATATGGGTCTTGTTCCGGCAACACTTGTGCAAGCAAGTCGTGTCCCTGCTCATCCACAATGGGGGTCCAAAAATTGGGTCCCTCATCACTCTTGATCTGAGCCCACCCATCCTGACGGTCCAAAAGCAAAACCTCCGAAAATGCACATCTGGAATCCATGACTTTCTGCGAAGGCGACGTGGAAGGTGTTTTATTTTCAGAGGCAGTGATGCCAAAGCAACGCATTGGACACATTGGGTTGTTTTCCTCATTTTTTGAAGGACTTGTTGGAGATGAGACTGCTGAGACTGCTGAGACTGCTGAGGATGGTCAAAAGACCGTGGTGAATTGGCCATACCTGAGCACGCACATATGGGTGTGGGGCGTCTGCGCTAAAGCGCACGGAAAGACCAGTCGCAAGAATCCATCCGGCAGACCGCCATGAGGCTCGCATGGGGACCAGATGAACAGAAAGGGTAAACTCTTGAGACACATGGGCCTGAGTCAAGTCATTGGGTTTCCTTATCTAACCCTCCAAACCTCACCATTGAAGGACATGAAACCATGACTTTGTGCCAGCCGGAATTCCCAAGCCATTTTCAGCTAAAGAATCCCCTGAAAACTTCCACAACCCCGGAGAATGAGCATCGTCTCCCAAAATCCATGGCTTAACTGAGATATCCAACCTACTTCTTCAGCAACATCTCTTTGTTGCCCTAGAAAAGCTTGAAAATCCGCATCTATAGCTATAAATTGATCCATTAGCACCTCGTTCCCCAAGGTTTACTCAAAGGATGTCAATCCATTTTGGGTTTGCCAAAAACTAGGGTAACCCCCAATTCCATTGGTTAAATAATCATGTTTTTCCATTTAAATTGCCATTTACATAGTCAATCTTTGGTTGTCCGCAAAAAATGTGGATGGTCATTTTCCGTCTATAGCAAACAACTCAATCTGGTTGGTGGTATACCTACCCCTCTGAAAAATATTAGTCAGTTGGAGTCAGTTGGGAAGATTCTTCCCAATATATGGAGGGGTAAAACTGTTCCAAACCACCAACCAGCAATGATTGGGATGTTTAGGAGTCCATCTATAGCCGCCACAGTCATGCCCAGTCCATCGTTGGTCTTCGACTGGCCCTGGTGCAGCTTGTCACTTGCAGGTGGGTAACATCTCAGACCGGGTTTTAGAGATATGGGGCCATGCTGGATATGGCTGGGTAAATTATAATATTTCACTAACCTGATTTAAGCCCATTTGGGGATGATTTCTCTTATTGACCATGATTTACCCAGATATTGGGATAATTAATGGGACATATAATTCCCGGAAGATCCCATTTACAATCCCATGATATTCCTATTGTTGGATTGAACATGGGATATAGTTTAATGGATTAATGGTGGGATATGTGTATATATATATATGTGTGTGTATATATGTATACATGCTGGGAATCGTGGGAATATAATGGGACATAGTTTAACGGATTCATAGCGGGATATTAATATGCGTTCGGGGATTGAAGATGGGATAATATAGTGAGGAATGGGGATTTAATAGGTGAGATTTGGTATGAGAACTTAACAGAACATATCCAATTGATGAGATGGATAACCCAATTGAGCAGTGTTCAAACCTCTGTTGGTTTAGGCTGAGTTCGGGGGTTGCACTACCCAATATATCGGGGATTGTCACAACCCATTTTGGAATGCCAGAGGGTTCTGAACACTTCTCAATTGTGATCAAACAAAATCAAACATGATCAAGACAAACAGGGGGTCGAACCAGAAACCCAAAAGGTGGGGTACCAATCCGCCAAACCCTGCATACAAAACAACAAACAAACGCCTTTTCTGGTAGGCGCTTGAGCCATAGGGTCGTTAGCGTATAACCTAAACCCCAACTCAGGTGGTTGTTAGAATTGGGGGCTACACCTAACTCTACCTAAGGCTACTCTACCTATGTAACGCTTCTACATAGGTAGTGCTACAGCTGTACATATCGGGGATATCTACTTTGGGTATGATGGACTCATAGCTAAGGCATACCTCTACTAGACCTACCTGCACATGCTATACATGGTGGGGCTCAGGGGTCGATATATTTCAACTCCCCCCTCGCCTGTTCCACACGCACTGCGCATTGGCAGGCATCTAAGCAACTACCGTCGCGTGAACGGACGTTCACAGCGACCTATGCTTTGGATTTAAGGTCTAAGGGAAGGTCAGTACGAATGCCTAACAGGATTAGTGCTGCTGCCCATTTGTGTGGAGGCAATGCCTTGGTGAATATGTCTGCCACCTGATCATCGGTGTGGGTGTACTCTATCTCGGCAGAGTCATCTCTGAAGACTTCAGACAGGCAAGACAAATTAACTTTGTGTGTTCTAGTTATATGGCGAAGCTTGGGACTATATCCTTTCTTCACAACTAGGATTGTTGCTTGATTATCTTCGTGAACCTTAAGGGTTACGGAGCGTGCAAGCAACAGCTCCCATAACTGTAAGGCAGGCAAGCCTTCTTGATAAAGCGAATGGGCTAAGCTAACAACCTCGCTTTCCGTGGTCGATCTAGAAGTGGATGTTTGGCGCTTGCTAATCCATGCAAGTGGGAAGAAGGAACTAGGGCCAGTTAAAACCAAAAAGCCACCAGAGGTTGAGCGTGCAGTTGATCTGTCGCCGGCGAAGTCGGCATCGACAAACAGTCTGAGCTCTAGGTCTTCAGGCTTGTCCTGAATGGTACCTACTAACCTATAGTGTGGGGTTGAGGCTATGTACTGGATCAATCTTAGAACCCTCTTATCATCCCCCCTGGACCACGACTGGACCTTTGTGGCCAGATCATTGATAGGCTTGATGATATCGGGACGTGCAAGTCTACCTAACCAAAGGGCTTTCATCAAAATCTTACATGCGTTTGGAGCTAGTTCCCCTTTAGTTTCATCATCTTCAATGGTGATGGATCCCTCAGGTGGAAATGGCGTGGCGGCATGCTTGAGTTTGGTGACACCAGTTATTGATTTATACAAATCTACGGTCTGCTGAGCGTAGTCTGCCATATCAAAAACCATGCCATCTTGGGCTTGGAAGGCTGCACATTTTTCATGACCTTCGGTCTTGGAGAGTGGGGTAACAACATGGTTGCGTCCAAGAATCCTATAGATGGGCTCTGGGGGTTCTATGTCTACCACAGAAGTTAACTTACTCCAGAATGCATCATGCTGGTCGGCGGGGCCAGCTAGAGTTAAATCGTCTACATAAGTTGACAGAAGTAACTTTGTATCTGGGAAGAAAAAGTTTCCTGGGTATTCTGGAACTTCCTGTCCACCAAGGTTCTTGATGATGACTTTCAGGTGTTGTTCCCACAGGCCTCCGGCATCAGGATGACCGTATAAGGCTTTAATTAAGAGGACTACGGGCTTAACAAACTGTTGCTTCCAATACTTAGGGCGGAGCTCCGGGGGAAGCTCAATCCAAGTCTTGTATTTGGAAGATAACAGTGCTTGGACGTAAGCTTTGACTGCATCTGCAGCCGTCGCGCGGTTACCCGGCAGCGACCCGTACGCCAGGCAGGCGTTTAGCCCTTGGACGGAGGTGGGGTTTGCGCCGAGTTCTTCGTAAACTGCGGCTGCACCGTGCTCGTCCTTTGCGCAGTCTCCTCTGTACACGATGCGCCCCTTCATTTTGTGAAGGTGGTCTGCAAGCTCGTGGAATTTAATGGACGCGATGGTCATGAGCTGACCAAAGTGCACTGACACACCTGAAGCCTTAGCTCCTCTGCGCACATCTTCCTTTTCGCGGACCGAGCTAAGATCCCAGGTACCAGCCTTGACCAAACCATCGGCTTCGGCGCGGATTGCCTCAAGGGCCTTGGGGTTGGACAGCATCTCTGCACGGGATAAGAGCTTTGTGACCATTGCTTTGATCTCAGGCGTTGGCGCCTTTGGGTCCTCCAGGTGGAGGGCTTGCGCGATCAATTGTTCATGGTCAAGAAGTTCTGTAACCAACCTATTAGCGGTGGGGTCTGATTCAACAGCTAGGGCTAAATCTTCAAAACCAGCTAATGGGGATACGTGCTTAAGGTGCTGCTCAATTTCCCTATGGGGTTGAGGCTCGCTAGTTGCCGGTCGGCAAGGCATAGCAGGAACGGACTGCTGGGCACATTTTGAGGGATACAAAGCTTGCGCAATTAAACTAGTCATTTGGGGCGGATACATTGCGGAGCGAGTGGTCTCAGCTCCCTCACATCTGGAATGAGGTTGCTGGCATCGACACCGCATATCTTGAAACGCCTCTACAATTCGGGGAGAAGTGGTCTTGAGTTTCCATGGCTTTTTGATGGGATAACCATTTCTGTCGGTTAAACCTACGGTACACCCTTCAAAACCAACGGTCATAAACTGGGGATGCTTCTCAAAGAATGCTACAACGTCAGGCCTTTTCCAGCCAGAGCAAGGTCTTGGCCATTCAAACGTTACAGTACCACCATGATTGAGAACCCTTTCAGCGCGTTCGGAAAAACTCTTAAACAACCGTTTGGACTCTTTGACCTGGTGGGCAAGCTTCCTCATGAATCCGGCACCACCCTTCCTCCTATTGATGTACTGCCAAGGGGATCCGGATGTGCAAGGGATGGAGGCCCATATATGTGGAGGTGCAACCTTAGCGGCTTCATCTATCTGATAGTCTAGTTGCTCACATTGTGACTCATCTCCCAGGTCTATCCTATCCTTACAAAGTCTAACATGATTAATGCCATATTCTTGATGAGTAAAACCCATCTGGGAGTCCTCAGAACAAGCAAACTCAAACATGGTTGACTTAGCATTGGGTCTGGAAGCTTTCTTGGCAGCTTTCCGGCTCCTACGATTATCGCGGTTAGTTGGCTTACCTACAGCGGGGCAACCAAAAACAGGCAGCGACTTCTGACATAGGTCGGAACATCGATTGGCAACTTGGGGAAGAATAGCTACACCAGAAACAGGAACAGCATGCTCAGGCGGAGCACTGGGTTCGGCTGACCCTGGAACCTCACCTCTTATGAAAATTTCATCGGAATGTTCTTTATCCTCTGGGGAGAGGTGTGAGGGAATGGGGTCAGGGATCTCCTCACCACGGAAGATGATGCCATGTGCTTCATCATCCTTGTCTTCCGCTTCTGTCTCACTTTCAGGTGGTGGAGCTTTCTTTTCCTTCTCAGCTTCTTTTTCTTTTTCAACTAACATTGAGAAGCGGGCTCTGCACTCATCAGTGTGCGCACGTGAATGGCCAGTGCAGCCTTTGCAACCAGGGGTCTCTTTCCATTTAAGGATACGGTCTACGGTTATATAAACAGAGCGACTTTTGAGACCTGGTGTAGAAGGTGAGGCTATTCCGCCCTCCTTTGGGAAGGGCACATCCTTTAAGGCATATTCAGGCAACTTAAGATCATCTGGGTTATCCCCCCTGATGAGAGCTTGGTGGCGTGAAAAACCTACTGGAAAAACAGGATCACCTTCAGGGACAAAGATTTCTGCTTCTGGAACATCAACGGCTGAATTCCCACCTCTAGTGCGATACTCTTGATAATCTAGCACCCTAAGAACATTTCTATAACGGAAACCAGGATCAATCCTCCAACCCAAAAACAGACCAGGTGACATGTTGGGCTCCAAAGTCCTTTTGGTGGGTGACTTCCTACGGTAATACACTAACTGACCAAAGCATAACCTCATGCCATCAAACTTATTTCTAGTAAGCGACTCCCATTGGGTTTTGTCGGGGTCGGCTATTGAAGGCTTGTCGAATGACATTGAAAGGCAAGCATATGGATAGCTATATGTGTGATACTCATATGGAAGGCCAGATTGGAGGTGAATAGTGCGGCAACATTCTTTCTCCTCTCGAACATCTCTCTCGAGGATGGCATTGTGGGGCCATCTGTTCGGCAACGAGGTTTCTGGAACCATGCCTACGGCATGTGCCGCCTGCTCAAGCTCGCCGGCTTCGTCCATTTTTATGAACGTTCGGGTGGTGAGCTCTGATCCACGCAGTCCTAAGAAATGTCTAAAGTTGCGAGCATGCGCGTCAGCAGTACGTTTGGACAATGGGTATGCAACACGCGCACCAGAGTACGCATCGCGGATGACATGATGCGAC